GAGGAGGAGGAGGCGGAGGAGGAGGAGGAGGCGGAGGAGGAGGAGGAGGAGGAGGAGGCGGAGGAGGAGGAGGAGGAGGGAGGAGGAGGAGGAGCAAGAGGAGGAGGAGGAGGAGCAGGAGGAGGAGGAGGAGGAGTATGAGGAGGAGCAGGCTTTGAACGCCACAGGGAAACCTTCGGTCGATGTAACGTACGTAACAGCCGGAGGAGGAGGATTCGCAGGAGGAGGAGGAGGTGGAGCAGCAGGAGGAAGAGGAACAGGAGGAGGAGGAGGATGACGAGGAGGAGGGTAGATGAGGGGGCGGAGCAGGGAGAGAGGATGATGGGAAGGAGTGGAAGAGCGAGGATACTTTCATCCGTTGCGCGGCCTGGGGGCCGCAGTGGTTGCGCAAGTGTCGGCGATTACAAAGATGGGCCGGCTCGATGTTCTGGCTTCGAGAAGACTGTTTGTTTCTTTCGTTCCCCAGGGGCTGTTTCCGGCCCCTGGGTCTGCCAAACATAGATCCGGGATGACCATCTACACCAGATGGATTTGGGAGGAGCCCTGCTCGGGACCGATTTTGATCTGATTTGCTTTCACCCCCCCCCTCGACATACGTATTCTCTCGAGCTTCGTCCAGTTCAGATCCCCCGGCCGCCTCCTAATACAAATACGTTGCCATCGTCGGGCTATTTGGATCAATACGTTGCCATCGTCGGGCTACTCCGCGGTGCGGCGGAGAGCTCTGTCGAGGTCCTCGCCGCCCCCCAGGCTGCGGGCTTCAAACTGCACCCTTTGCAAACCACGTTCTTCGGAGTCGCCGACATGGGGGGGGAGGGGAAATGTGGGTTAGAGTAGAGAGAGAGAGAGAGAGCCAGAGGATCGCGCCGGATCGCAGATGCAGCGGGCACGCGGCTCGATGTGGAGCCCGATTTTCTACGCGCCGATATCGCTGATGCATCACAGATACAAATCGCCGATGCACCGCCAATGCATCGGGAATGCATCGAGGATGCGGCGCAATCCCCCAGGCCTCTCTATTCCGACCCCATCTGGGTCTTGGGGAACGGGGGGGTTTAAGAATGGTGCACCTTCAGTGATGGGCCCCCCAGGGGCCACGACAGGTTCATATATTTTCGCTCCCCCCTTTTTCGCCCCCCCCCCCCCCCCCAGAAGCAACGCCCAAGCGGCCACGGGGTGAGGGGCGCTTAGGGGATCGAGAGTCGGATCGGATGAAGTGTCGGGGGCGGCCAACCCTGATTTCGGATCCGCCGCGGTCTGGGTGAGTTTGTAATAAGCAGGGCAGATGTTTCCGCCCTACTTTTCGGGCTCCGTTCACGTCGATTTCCGCTTGCTCTGCCGTCGCTGTTTCCGCTATGCCGCTCCTTTGCGGATATACCTGTCTTGTTTGTCACAGGCAGAAATTCCCATGTCATTTCTTCGCATCGTTTGGGGTGCAGTTCTGGCACAATGGCACGTCGGAAAGTCAACCGAAGTACGACGGGTCCGAAGGAAGTCGGGGGGGAGGGGCGCTCTGGGGATCGAGAGCCAGGTCGGACGGAAGGTCGGGGCCAAGATGGGCGTGCTAACTAGGGGAGGAAATCATGATGGGTAAATTTTCCACCACCACTACCAAATGGAGGACGGGAGACAAGGGAGAATGAGGAGGTCCTCCTCCTCCTCCCCCTCCTCCTCCTCCTCCTCCTCCTCCTCCTCCTCCTCCTCCTCCTCCTCTGCCCATGGTCGTGGTGGTGGAACACGGGCCCATGAGATCATGGCTGGGGCCATGAGGTTTCACAGCATGCCGCGGCCCCCTCTTCGTGTTCGATGCGTGCGCCGGCCCTCCCACCCGCCCCGCGTCCGCGCGCGTGCCCCTGGCACGCCCACCCTCTCGGACGCCCCCGAACAAGAGGGCGATTCAGGGGTAATGGGGGCCCGATAGCCCCAACCTGCCCAGGAAGGTGCGGGTTCACATCGGGGGCCTATCGCCGATCTATCGGCGATGTATCGCCGATTCCAGGTCGATGCATCCCCCCCTATGCCTGTCCCCACCCATCGTTGCCCCTCAGCGATCGGCGACGAAGGAGAGGCAGCACCGTGTGAACATACTTGGAGCTCAGCGCGGGTGGATCGGCGCCGGGCCGCCCTGGCGGTGCCTCCGGCGCCGCGCCTGGCGCTCCGCGCGCCAGGGAAGGTGGGGGCCCAGCGCCGATCCAAGAGATCCGCTTTGACTTGCGAACGTTTTTTGTTTGGACCGCTGTCCCTCAAGACAGGGAAAGAAAGGTTGCGATCATTGCTTCGTGCAGCCGGTTTCCGCCCCGCCGCCAGGCGCTCTTCTCCTCGATATATTTGACGTGTGGAGCGCCGGGAGGCACCAGGGAAATCAGGTACACATGAGCTGATCCCCCCCCCTTTACTAAACCCCCTCTTCGTCCGACCCGAGAGAGCGAGCATGGGGGTCGTGCGAGTTATTGCACTTCGCACATAGATGCATACACACACGTTTACATGCACACGCATACATATACACGTATACTGACATGTCTATTTATGTGCACATAGATGTAATTGTTGTTATAGCGATGTGTGCTCTCGCGCTCCTCCTCCCCCTCCACCCTGATTGTAGTTCGCTTCGTCGTCTTTGGTCTTACTTGCACCTCCAGAGGTCTCCCGTGGCCTCCAGAGGACTTCATGGAGGGCCTCAGGCTCGGAGGCCTCCAGAGTCCAGAGTCGACTCGAGACCTTACCGTCGAGAATGGTGGCTCGAATTTGTTTTTACTGGGTGTCTGGGCCTCCGGGAGGCTTCTCTTCCACTACGGATGCATTCCATTCTGGATTCTGGTGGTACCATTGGAGAGGGCTAGGGGTTGACTTTGAAGGTTGATGGGGGGGAGATCACCATCAAGACAACGAGGTCCTGAGAGGTCCCACAGCGTCCCAGGTGTGGTCGCGTATGCCGATCATTGCGCCGATCATGGTGCGGATTGCCGAGAATCCAGAGGCAAGCAATCTTCAAAGCAGGGCGCGCAGCCTTGGGAGGAGGTCGCGTGGCAATATGGTTGATGTTTTTTTGTGCTACTGCTTCTCATCCTCTGGAACCTCCACAGACACGTGTTACACGTCAGAAGCCACCGAACACGTCGGGACACATTTCTGACAACCCTCAAGCACTCCTGTGAATTGTTCAAGTTTGAAGACAGTCTCAGAGTCTTCGAGAGCGTCCGAACACCTCTAGCAATCTTCGAAAAACAAGATTCGAACACGTCCAGGTTTTCTTGGAAGAAATTAGAGCACTTGAACTCATTTCTTGAAACATTCGAGCACGCCTGGATTTCTGACAATTTCCGAAGACCTCCTAGGACCTCCAACGTTCCCCGCATTCTTTCGATCTGCGACCATCTGCGAACCCGATCCCTGCGGGTCCAATCGACGCCGAGGCATCGCACACCCCCGCTGAGGTTCGCTTGGCTGCAGACATCGTTGGAATTCTCAGCCCTGGCCTGGTAGGGGGAAAATCCGACCTGCAGGGATAGGGTTCACATGTGGTGGCCCACTGGTTTCGAGGATGGATCTTTCAGGGGCAATTCCAATCCGACCGATCCTATTCGATGCCGATGCTGGCCGGCCCGATCCGCTGCCATTCCGACGTTCTTTCGATCTGACTCGGCGCCGCATTTGCATGGCGTTGTCGTGCCTCTCGGCGTGGACGATCCGATTCGATTCCTGTTCCGTGCCGAGGCAGCTCGATCCGACCTACATCCCGAGCCGACCCGATTTCCCATTTCGATGCTGGCTGCTTCTGCTTTTGGACGCTTTCGAGGACCTCCCAAGCCCTGTGTAAGGCCTTCGTTGGACTCAGGCGAATGGGTCCTTGGCAGAGGGGGTCTCGAACATGTATTCATTAGTTTATGCAATCCTTCGTGCTGGATCGCTGCATTCAGCATCGTTGGTCCGTAAGAGAGACCAATCGCCAGGAGCCTCAGGATGAACTATTGCATGTTTTTGTTGCCGACCCCACTGCGAAAGACCCCCCTTGCTTATAACTAACTTCGGGCACCTCCGAGCGGTCTCCCCAAAGACCACGCCCCCTGGAGGGCAGCCGACGGCCCCTCCCGAGGTCCTGGCGCCCGATTTCCAATTCGATGCTGACCGATGCCTTTGGACGCCTGCGAGGACCTTTGAAACCCTGCGTCACGTTGCATCTTCGGGGGACCTCGCCTGTCCTCAACATTGGTTTCCTTTCTTGTGCCCGACGCGGGCTCGATGCGGACTCGACGCGGATTTGGCGTGGATCCGACGCGGATTCGACATGGGTTCGATGCGGATCCGACGAGTCCGACATGGATTCGACACGGATTGGGATTCGACGCGGGTACGGCCGCGACGGGACAGACGATGTCTTTTGAGTCGGCATCGTTTAATGATCCCCTATCCCCTTCGAGACCCCCACCAAATTGCCACCCCAGTCGGAGACGCACCCCTCGAAACCCGAAGGCAACGGCCTAGATCCACATCTCGGGGCGTACGTCGGCCAGTGGGGCCCGGGCCACGCCGCTGGGGGTGGGCATCAGTTCGACGATACTCCTCGAGGATGCAGCGCGGTCTGTGGCGGGCCTCCGGACACCTCCGAGCGGCCTCCCCCACGGAGCGCGCCCGTGAAAGAGGGCGGGCGGGGGCGCCCCGCCCGAGGTCCTGGCGCTCCTGGGAGCTGCAGGACCCGCCCGAGGATCGGTGCGCACGTGGGGGGGCAGGGAGAAGCCGGCGTCACGGAGGGCGATCAACGGAGGGGAAGCATGCTGCCAGGTCATCTCCAGACTTCTTGAGCCTGTTCTAGACGTGCTTTAAACATGTAAACCGCAGGCTCTGAACACGCCCAGAACATGTCTCAAGCGTGTGAGCAGCATCTGTAATGCCTGATCGGATTCATAATCGGGCGAAGAGAACTATGCACATGCACCGGTCCTGGCCAGGCCCATCCTTGGCCCCAGGATCGGTGCAGATGCCTTCCCCGCCAAGGTCGGAGGGCGTATGCACCGATCCTGGGCTCAGGATGGGCCTGGCCAGAATCGGTGCATGTGCATGGTGTTTGGTTCCTCTATGTTAAGGTGTCCGCTGCCATGGCATCCACCACGTCATCCCAACGGACTGGTACTGCATGTGCGCGGCGCCCCCCCTCCTCCTCCTCCTCCTCCTCCTCCTCCTCCTCCTCCTCCTCCTCCTCCTCCTCCTCCTACGCAGCCTCCTCCTCCCCACCGGGGGCGACGCGCACGCCGAAGAAGTCTCACGGCACGAGCTCCGTGGCGGGCGCTCTCTTCGGTCGTGCCGCGCGGGGCACGAGCGCTGTGGGGCGTCTGTGCCAGCTGCTCGGCTCGGCCGCGCGGGCCTCCGAGGAGGACGCGCCTCGGGGGTGTGGGCAGAGCCCCGTTCAAAAGGGTTCCGGAACGGTCCAGGAGAGCTACGTGTCGACGAAGGATCGTTCCAAAACGCCGAAGATTGCCTCCAGACGGCCCCATCAGTCCCCAAAATTTTTGAACAAATCTTACGAGGCGACCCGCGAGAGCCCTCCCACCATGACACGTCGAGTGGTCAAATTGTCTGTGTTCGGTTCTCGAGGGCGCGCCGCGGCCGTCATTTTCCAGGCCTGCGCCCGCCAGGCTTGGGCCCGAGGGCGTTTTCACTCAGCCACGTTCCGCTGAAGGGGGTTATGCCCATCCCCGAACACAGTACTAGTATGCCCCTGTGCGTCCCAAGAGAGAGCATGTGTGACGCGCAAGTCAGCGTGTGGCTCCCGCGTTTTGACCGAAAGCCTGGCATGCCCTCAACTGCTGCACGCCGAGGTGGCCCCCACGTCGGCGTGTCACTGTTGCTGCTTTTCTTGCTCCCCGGCGCACGACACGGGAGTGCTGGGAAACTCGAAGAAGAACATCTGGCACAGACCTGCTGTGGAGACCCATGCCAAGAAGCACCCTCTTGCCTCCAGGGTGCCGTGGGTTTCTTGGGTTACGATGGTCTTGCGATTGAAAAGCGTGACGTCCCCATCCCAAGAACACATGGACGTCCTGGGGGCTCAGGGTTGGTCTTCTTGTGGCAGGTTTCTCGTGGACAGGCCTCCCCTGTAGGCTTTTGGGGACCCGCGCGCCCTTCCTTGGATCGGCGCTGGCGTTGAGCCCCACTGGCGGCGCCTCCCCGCGCCGCCCCCCTGGTGCGCCCGGAGGGCGCCCCGGGGGCCGGGGACCCCGCGCCGCAGTGGGCTCCAACTGGCAGCAGGCGCCTTCTGGCAGCGGGCTCCCGCTGGCAGTGGGCTCCTGCTGGCAGCAGGCTCCTGCTGGGAGCAGGCTCCCACTGGGCGTAGGCTCCCACTGGCAGTGGGCTCCTACTGGCAGTGGGCTCCTGCTGGCAGTGGGCTCCTACTGGGAGCAGGCTCCTACTGAGAGCAGGCTCCTACTGGGAGCAGGCTCTGACTGGGAGGTGGCCCCAACTGGCAGTGGGCTTCTACCCCCAGTGGGCTCCCACTGTCAGTGCGAGCCCACGGGGGCCTAGCGCCGAGCCAAGAAGTCAACGCGGACTTCGACAGTTTTGTTGCTGTTTTGTTTTTTCTCGTCCTCCAAGGCCGGAGGAGATGGAGGAGGAGGAGGAGGAGGAGGAGAAGGAGGAGGAGGTGGAGGCGATGGAAGAGGAGAAGGATGATGATGAGGAGGAGGAGGAGGATGAGGCGGAGAAGGAGTGGGAGGAGGAGGAGGAGGAGGAGGAGGAGGAGGGGAGGAGGAGGTAGGAGGAGGAGGAGGAGGTGGAGGATGAGGAGGAGGAGAGGAGGAGGAGGAGGAGAGGAGGAGGGGAGGAGGAGAGGAGGAGAGGAGGAGGGGAGGGGAGGAGGAGACGAGGAGGCGGAGGAGAGTAGGGGAGGGGAGACGAGGGGACGAGGACGAGGAGGAGCAGGAGGACGAAGACGAGGAGAGGAGAAGGGAGGAGGATGAGGAGGAGGAGAGGAGGAGGGAGGAGGAGGAGGAGGAGAGGAGGGGGAGGAGGAGGAGGGAGGAGGGAGGGGGAAGGAGGGAGGAGGAGGAGGGAGGAGGGAGGAGGAGGAGGGAGGAGGGAGGGAGGAGGAGGAGGAGGAGGAGGAGGAGGAGAGGGAGGGAGGGAGGAGGAGGAGGGAGGAGGAGGAGGAGGAGGAGGAGGAGAGGGAGGCATGATGATGATGAGGATGAGGATGAGGATGAGGATGATGCTGATGCTGATGCTGATGGTGCTGAAGCTGATGCTGATGCTGATGCTGATGCTGGTGCTGATGCTGATTATGATGATGAGAAGGAGGCGGATGAGGATGAGGATGAGGATGATAATGATGCTGAGGCTGTTGCTGCTGCTGATGATGATGATGCTGAGGCTGATGATGATGATGATCATGATGATGGTGATGATGATGCTGAGGTTGAGGAAGATGATGCTGCTGATGATGATGGTGGTGGTGGTGCTGATGCTGATGCTGATGCTGATGATGATGCTGATGATGATGTTGATGATGAGAAGGAGGCGGATGAGGATGAGGATGATGATGAGGATGAGGGTGAGGATGATGATGATGCCGATGCTGCTGCTGATGATGATGATGAGGATGATGATGCTGATTCTGATGATGATGCTGATGCTGATGCTGATGATGATGATGATGATGATGCTGATGATGGTGGTGGTGATGATGATGATGATGGTGATGATGATGATAATAAGGATGATGATTATGCTGATGATGATGCTGATGCTGATGCTGGTAATGATGATGATGATGATGATGATGATGATGATGATGATGATGATGATGCTGATGCTGATGCTGATGCTGCTGATGATGATGATGATGATGATAACGATGATGACGATGATGACGATGATGATGATGGTGATGATGATGGTGTTGATGGTGATGATTATGATGATGATGATGGTGGTGGTGATGATGATGATGCTGCTGCTGCTGATGATGATGATGATGATGATGGTGGTGGTGATGGTGATGATGAGGAGGAGGAGGAGGCGGAGGCGGAGGAGGAGGCGGAGGAGGAGGAGGAGGAGGAGGAGGAGGGAGGATCAAGAAGGGGAGTAGGAGGAGGAGGTGGAGGACGAGGACGATGCGGAGAAGGAGTGGGAGGAGTGCGAGGAGGAGGAGGAGGAGGAGGCCTCTTCGCCCTCGGCGCGCGCGCGCCCTTTCGTTGCTCTCTCTCGTTGCGCGTCGTCCCCCGTACCCCTTCCGGCTCCCTTGAGGGGTTGGAGTGGGGGCGGGGGACGACGTGCAGAGATTGCCGTGGCATTCCTTTGCAAGCCGGGCTGGCGGATTCCGATTGCTGAGATGTTTGTCGTCTTTGGCGTTGCAAGGACAGTGCAGCAGACTTGGCAGTGAATCTGGAGGAGGTTACCAGAAGCATTACGGACGCCTCCAGAGTACAGCCCAACAACCTCACAGGCACGAGTAACTGCAGCGGTACAGTGGAGACTCGTGCCAAGGAACGCCCTGCTTGCCTCCAGGGTGCCCTAACCCTGGATTTCTTGGGTTTCGATGGTTTGGCTGTGGAAAGCGTGACGTTCCCACACCAAAATTCAATGGACGTCCTGGGGTCTCAGGGTTGGGTGTCTTGTGGAAGGTTTTTTGTGGTCGGGCCCCTACTGTAGCTGCTCCTGCGCTCGATTCCCTGACTCGGGGCGATCGACATGGGTACCCAACGAATGTCTAGGCCTCCTAGACGGGGTCGTAGCAGATGGAGTCGGAGGATCGCGTCGCGGATCCCGCATTTCTCAATGCCGACGTCGCCGATGCATCGCCGACGTCGCCGATCCATCGCTGGTGCATCGCTGATGCATCGATGATGCATCGCCGATGCATCGCCGATGTATCGGCGATGCGGCGCGATCCTCCGAACCCATTTACTCCGACCCCATCTAGGAGGCCTTTAGAATTGGTGCAAGGACCGACCGCAGTTCCTGTTCATCTTGATATGGATTCGCTGTCGGCGCCGCCGCGGACTTGTGTCCACTTGAGACAGAAAGCCGCCTGCCCAACAGCGGCCGCTGTGTTGGTTTGGGACAGCATTTGTTGTTGGGCATCGTGTCAATTTGTTCCGCACACATTTTTGGGCGTCCAAACATGACCCCCTTTCGTGGTCCCCCGCCGCCATCATCGAAGGAGAAAAAGCGGCATGCACATAAACTTCTGACGCTCCGCGCAGAGCTCTTGGACCCGCGCCGGGCCCCCCCCTGGCGGCGCCTCTGGCGCCGCCCCTGGCGCGCTCCGCGCGCCACAGAGGGGGGTCTAGCGCAGATCCAAGGAATCTGCGCGGATCTTCGTCTCCTACATCAGCCGAAGAGGCTGTTGGCCGAAGGCAAAAAAAACGGTCACCAGAAACGTGCCCGAAGTGGTGACCTGGCTGGAAACGGCGTGCGACCGCGCACGTGACCGAAGCCGAGGATCGTCTTGGCTTCGAGCCAGGTATTTCGGTCACACTCGGGCGCGGTCGGCCATTTCTGGGCCCACATGTCGGTCACACCCAGGCAGAGAGTCGGGCACACGCTCGGTCACGACGCCTCCCTGACAGGGACGAGGTCACGTGACCCTTCCGTCGAGGAGCGAAACACACTGCCCCTGACCAAGTTGTCGCGGGATCTACTCATTGCCGCTCCCGGTCATGGTCCATGCCGGCAGCCGCCGATTCGCGAGGATCGTTCACGATTCGACGCTGACCAAGATGGAAGGTGACCAAGCTCGACGCGACGTTTCCGCGAGCGGTCGTGATCATGGTTCTCGTTCTCCCTTTCACTCTGTGTAGCCCCCGCACCCCGAGGGCACCATCGTCCTCCTCCTCTTCCTCCTCCTCTTCCTCCTCTTCCTCCTCCTCCTCCTCCTCCTCCTCCTCCTCCTCCTCTCCTCCTCCTCCTCCTCGATTCGCAGTCGCCGTCGTCGCCGTCGGCGTCGCCTGCGGCGTCGTCGTCGCCCCCGAGAGGAGCGCGGCAAGAGCTTCGTCCTCGAGGCCGGGAGGCGTGGCAGGTGCCTGCCGTCGCTGGGCGTCGCGCGGGGCTGACGCCGAGCTCCGACGACCATCCCCCGCGAGTCCTGATTCGTCGTCGGCGTTTTTGCCGCGGTCGTCGTCGGCGTCGTCGTTGATGGGCAAATTTTCCACCACCACTACCATATGTGGGACGGTTGAGAAGGGAGGATGAGGAGGTCCTCCTCCTCCTACTCCTCCTCGTCCTCCTCCTCCTCCTCCTTCCTCTCCTACATGTGGTAGTGGTGGTGGTGGAAATGGGCTCATCAGTCGTCGTGTTCGGTGGCGCCTGCGGCAGCGGTGCCGCTGGAAGAAAACAAGGACAGGCATCGACGTGAACTGTCGGAGCTCTGTGCGGATTGCTTGCAGACCCGCGCTGGCACCGTCCGACAGCGCCTCCAGCGCCGCCTCGGGCGCGCTCCGCGCGCCGGGGAGGGGGGGTGCAGCTCAAATCCCAAGAGTACGCGCGGCCATCCGAAAGTTTGTGTCTGTGCTGTTTCTTCTTTCTCCAGGAATCGACGGCGAAGTCTCGTCGCTGAACCCCCCCCGCCCTGCCAGGGGCGGCGTTGGAGGCGCAGCTGGGGGGTTCCAGGGCAAGTCCAAGGCCCAAGGCATCCGCGGGGACCTCTGATAGTTGATGTTTAAGCTTCATATAGCCGTCTGCCGCCGCAGTCGTCGTGGTTGTGGGTGGTGGCGGTGGTGGCGGTGGTCGTCGTCGTCGTCGTCGCTCTTTTCCTCTTGAACCTGTTCTCCCTCCTCGGAAGGGGGGGAAGAGCAGGAAGAGGAGGAGGAGAAGGAGGGGAAGGAGCGATAATAACAAACAGTAGGCTGATGGGCAGGAGGGGCAGGAACGTATTTATGAGTAGTGCTAGAAGGGGAACATATATGGTATAGATGTGGAGGTATTGATCCCTCTGACCTTTCTAGGTCCTCCTCCTTCTGTCGCGGCTTTTCATGAGTACCTCGTCATCCGTTCCGCTCCTCGTTCTCATCCTCTTCGTTCCTCCTCATCGTTCCTCTTCCGTGTCCCTCTTCCTCCTTCCGATGAGGTTGCAAGTTGCTGCCCGTATGAAGTTGGGCTAGTGGATGTGCGAATGTTTCCCTCCATATCGTGGCCGCTTTTGTGAGGACTCCGAGCCTGGTTCTAAGGATGCCTCGCGCAAGTACCGAGCGGTGTTGCATTATCTTGTTGGAGATCGTGAGAAGCTTCTTTCCGACTTCACGCGGACGTTGCCTCTGTTGTGGGAGAGATCATTACGGCCTGCGCCTCAGCCACGGACCTCGAAATGCTCACAGGCGCTGCCTCTTGCACTGGTGCTGAAGAGGAGCAGGGAGCGAGGCGGGCCTGGGAGCAGCAGAGCGGAGAAGAGATGCCAGATAAAAGCGCTGAGAGGGGTGCAGGGATGGGTCACATTGTGGAGGAGATGCAATATCTATGTTTGAGGAGGAGGAGGAGGACTGGGATGAGGAGGAGGTGGGAGCAGGAGGGAGGGCCACCGAGGGGAATCGCATACATGAGTGCCCTCCCCTCCTGGGCTCGCGGATTTAACGAAAAGTTTGATTATCCTGTTGTCGTATTTGATGGCCTTCGGCCCATCCCACGACCGTGCCTGGGTTGTTGGTATGAAGCCTGTTCGATGTTCGTCGGGATCTCGTGGGAGGCCTAGCGAGAGCCTCTTAGAGGCAGTCCTGAGGCCTTTTGGGTGCCGTTTCTGGGGCCTCTTGGAGCCTCTTTTGGACCTCTTGTGGGCCTCCTGGGGCCTCTTGTGGGCCTATTGGAGGCCTCTTAGGTCCTCGTGGCTGTCTCTGTGGGGTTCCCGGGGGCCTGTTAGGGCGAAAGGCTGGGATTTTGGGTTCGCGATCCCTCGCTGGACCGTCTTGGGGCCCTCTTGGGCCGTCTTGGGCGCCTCTTGGGCCGTCTTGGGGCGCTCGCAGGCCGTCCTGGGGCCTTCTTGGAGGCCATTTGGGCCGTCCAGGGGTGGTCTAGGGGGCTTCTTGGGCCGTCTTTGAGCGTTGGAAAGCCGACGAGGCGAGAACGCCAAAATCTGGCGAAAACCTTTTTGTGGGAAATCAACGCTTGGGAGGCCTCTTGGAGGCCTCATGTGGCGTCATGGGGGCGTCTTCGGCCATCTTGAGGCCTTCTTGGGCGTCTTGGAGCGATCTTGGGACGACTCAGGGCTCTCTTTTTACCATCCTGGGAGCCTCTTCTGGGCTTTTCGGGGGGCCTCCTTGGGCGGGGTAAGCCGACGCGAGCGATTCTGGCAGACCCTGGGCCCACCCAGCAGACTCCCGGCCCAGTCCGGGAAACGACACGTCGGGGCCCCTAAAGACTTACAATTCTGGCTGCAGCAGCAGCAGCACAGCCCTTTCAGTGCTGTATGAGCCTCGGGGCACTCCACTTCGTGCCAGAGGCACGGTGGCGGATTTCACGATGGGCTTTCTTCAATAAGCAGGCAGCGTATTTTGGAGGCTTCAAGCAATCGCGTTTGGTTTGCGTATGTTGAAGATTACGCTTCTGTCCCCGCTTATTTGAAAGGCAAATTGGAAATGGAGTTGGGAGGATACGGCCTTGGATACCGAGGCATGTGTCGATTCCGCTCTGGGCCAATGTTTACCCAGCCTGTTCTGACACATTTTGATTACGCTTGGACTCTGGACACGGATGGCTACTTCCCAGCTGGTATTCAATCCGATCCTTTCGAGATTATGTGGAGGAAAGGGCTGGTGTATGGATATTCCCACGTATCGCGAGACCAGGCCTCAGCTGTTCAGCATTTTTGGGAATTTTGCCGCTTGTATTTTGAGACGAAGGGGCTTGACCCAAAGAGCACTCCGATGATGCGACGCATCACAGATGCTCTTGTTCTTCGTGACACCTACTGGCACGAGTGGAACCGTGTGTTGTTCATGAACGACATTGAAATAACCCAGTTGTCGTGGTTCCGAGGAGACCAGTACCAAGATTTCTTCAGGTATCTGGATTCCGTAGGTGGTTTCTGGCTCTACCGTTGGGGAGACCATGCGGTGCGCACGATTGCCCTCGCGCTGTTTTTAGACCAGGATAAGTTGCTCAAGATGGGCGTCCCGTATGGCCACCAGAACACTTGCCGATGCGGCGATGAGCATCCAGATAAGGTTTGCGTGCGGACAAATGCTTCTGATTGGTGGCAGTGCCTTCCAGCATCAGAGGCACAACTTGTTGCTGGAGGGAAAGAGGTGGCGAGCGGAGACATCGGAACTGTCCATGAGGGGATCTTGTTTGGCGGCTTGTGAAGAAACAAATGTTAGTTCATTGCACGTTTGACCCTTCGGTCATCCGCTGGATCCATGCCCACTGGACATGAGGAGACTCCTGAGTTGTTCTGCACCGTGTCCTTACACGTAGACCGTTGAGAGTAGGCATTTCTGGATCCCCAGATCTCAGTCCACTTCAAGCGCCTTCATACTTCAATCGTCGGTGCGCTGTTGCCGAATTGTGTCATTCTCTGGGAGGCCCTGGACCCAATCTACTTTATCCGCCATCCTACTTCATGTTTTTACCTACGGTCGGCCCAGATTAATAGGTCGACCCTGCCAAATCAATGGTACGCTTGTGTCCTGTGTCTCGCGACCCATGCGTCCTTCATTCCTATGGCAATGTGGCCCTCGGAAGGGTCCTGTGTCCTCTCTCGCGTGCCCTGTCCAGACCAGTCCGGCTGCACCTCGCCCGACCGACGTGCATTTGCGTTCGAGCAGCCATGAGCGTGCCTCCACCGTGCGCCTCCCCTGTCGATCGACTTCGCCGCCACGGCCGGAGACGGGTCGAACACTCGGCCGGGACCCACAGAGGGAGGGGTCTCGCCACCGACTCTGACAGGATTTTGGTCGAAGTTCTCGCTCTGGGCCCCCTTCTCCTCATCCCTGGCCCTCCCCTGAACTTTTCTTCCTCCCTCCGTCTTATTCTCCCTCCTCCGCGTTCTACCTCCTCCCTCATCCCGCCCTCCCCTGAGATCTGACCTCGCCAGGAAACTGCAATATTGCAAACATTCACGACCAGTGCCCCAGACCCCACCCTTCTGCGCCATTTGTCGAGCCCGGGCACGAAAGTGAGCGAGAACGCCCGTTGAGAAAAAAATGCAAACGCCAGGATCTCAGGGTCCCGCCCTCCCGCCACTCAGCGGGTCGGGCCGGGCCGGGACGGGCGCGGCCGGGCCGGGCATCCCCCCAGCCTCCTCCCTGGGTTCCCCCCTCTGGTGCCCTTCCCTCGTTCCCCCGCTCCAGGAGGAGGAGGAGGAGGAGGAGGAGGAGGAGGAGGAGGAGGAATAGGGGGAGGGGGAGGAGGAGGAGGAGGAGGAGGAGGAGGAGGAGGAGGAGGAGGAGGAGGAATAGGGGGAGGAGGAGGGAGGAGGAGGAGGAGGAGGAGGAGGAGGAGGAGGAGGAAGAGGAGGAGGAGGAGGAGGAGGAGGAGGAGGAGGAGCCTTCTGCGGCAGATCCTCGCCCAGGTGATCTGGCTGGAGCTTGCTCGAGGTCGAACGTCTCTTTTCGTCCGATGGGTGTCGGAAGCCAGGGCCAAGTCGTCATTGCAGGAACTCGCTGTTCGACGGCATAGGGGACCCCGAAGGTGTGGAGGGAGGCTTGATGGGCGCAGGCCTGGGAGTGGACGATGGGGCCTGGGGTCGACTCAGTGCACCGTCCCTTGCCGCTCATCCTGACCGCTCTGAGAGGGCCACTGGCCCTCGTCCCATGGGCCTCTCTGAGCCGCAAGGGGACGAGGGGCAAGTTTTGGATTGTGCACTTGCTCAGTCCTCACCCCTCTCCGTTCGCTTTCCCCTCCCCTCCCTCCGCCTTCCGTAGCGATTGGTCCCGGGAGGCTTGCTTGCAGCCAGGTCAGTCGCCCCGTACCCACACCACCCAGCACCGCCATGAGTGGGCTCCTTGCCTAGCGGGCACAGCCCGCGGATTTGGAGCCGACCCCCCAGGGGGAGATGAAACAGGATCTCGTGCTTACGTTCTGGATGTCGCACAGGCCATCCCTTCTTGCCAGCCTGTCAGCAGCAGACAGCGGGGCCAAACACAGCCCAGGCGGGCCCTGCAGAGCACCTTGCTCGAGTGGTCCGCGAGGCACCAGTGGGGACCCGTGGACTCTGGGCAGCTGGCAGTCTGGGGAGCCGCGGCGACTGCCGTCGGCCCCCCCTCCTCCGGGGACAGCCGGCGCTCGCCGCCCCAGTCCCCGAGGCTGGCCTCCAGGCACCGGAGGGCGCTGCCGTCCTGGACGAGCCCCACAGCTCCGCCCCGGCGCCTGAAGCCGAGGGCCCGGTGAGCGCCTGCCCCGCGGCCGGCCACGGCCAGGACCTGAGGTCCGCGCCGTCGTATAACCCCCCTTTAAAGGGGGTTACGAAATGGGGGGATACGGAATTACGTATCCCCCCACTTCGTCCGGCCCGAGTCCGTTTCCCGCCCCCCCCATCCGTGCTGGATGGAACCGGTCGTGCGCGTCGCGCTGTGGCCTCCCCGAAGGTCTCCGGCGACTTCGGGGTCCGTCGCTTGCCCGCGGGAATCCCCTCGGGCCTCCAGGATGTTTGGCGGCCTCGTGGGGCCGCCCGGGCTTGTTGTGGGAGGGCCTCGGGTGGAGTCCTGGCCGGAAGTCTCCGGCTGCCTCTGGCTTGCGCCGTTCGCCCTCGGACACCTTGGGGGCTTCAGAAGTCCTTGGCTGCTTCGGGGGACTGTTTGAGGCTTGCGGGAACTTGTGAGGTCTCCGCGGAAGGTGGTTGTTTCGTTTTTAGACCGTCAGGGTCAGTTCCCCTTTCTGCCCTCCCTCCTTCCTCCCTTTCCGCCTCGCTCTCCCGTGGGGGGGGTCGGGTCGGGAGGGCCGGGCTCGGGTTTGCTGGCGGGCTGGGGCAGGCAGCGTGGAGCGCTGATGGCGCTCCGCGTGGAGAAGGAGGCGGATCGTTTCTAGGCGGCCGTCGGCGAAACAATCCCCCGCTCACCTCCCCTACCTCCCTCCTCCCTTCCGCACGGCGATCTGCGTGGTCGTGTCGTGTCGGGCTGCGCTGGGCCTCCCCTTTTCGGCTTGTTTTCTCTTCCTCCTTCTCCCCCGTTGCGGTCGTTTTTGTTGTCCCCCTCTTCCTGTCACCGTTTTGTGCCTGCGGGGTACGTCGACCAGGCAGCGCAAGTGGGGATCGGACGAGCCCCAGGCAGGCGGCAGGCGTTCCCTGCTCGGCCCCCCTTTTCCCACACCGCGGGGAGCCTCTGAGCTGCTTCTCCTGCTGCGCTCTGGCCGGGGTCTCGAGGAAGAGCCTGCCTGATGTGCAGACTGATCGCGAGAGTTCGAGTGGATTCATCTTGGAGTGGAACTGGACCCCCGTGGCGGCGCCCTCTCCGGCGCCCATGGTTCGTTTCGCGTGCCAGGTGCGGGGCCCCAGCGCGGATCCACGAGATCCGCACTGTCCTCCGTCAGCTCTGCGAGCGCTGGCGGTAGGACTTCCAGAGCCGCCGCAGCAGGGTCTCTTCCAAAGCCCTCCACCGGGCCGCGGCCCATGCTGAAATAGGAAGCTGCGTTCCAAACTCCCGCGTGCCACCTCCATGGGAGCACCCTACCTACCTACCTTACCTACCTTACCTACTTACCTTACCTTACATACCCGACCTACCTACCTACCTACCTCCCGACCGACCTACCAATTTTCCGACCTACCTGCCTACCGACGTGCCTACCATCTTACCTACATACCGACCTGCCTGCCGACCTGCCTACGTACCTACCTATCTACCTACCTACCGACTTACCTACCTACTCGCCCACCTACCTACCTACCTACCTACCTGCGTACCTACCAACCAGCCTACCTACCTACCTGCCTGCCTGCCTGCCTGTCTGCCTGCCTACCTACCTACCTCCTTGTCCTCCCTCGACCCGCCTCCCTCTTCCTCCTCTTTCTCCGCCCCTCGTGGTGGGACAGTGTGATTCGGAGAGGGTGCTGGCCAGGGCCGGCGCCTCCAATCCAGGGGGCGTGCAGCTCACCGGCACGTGCTTGCTTGAAGCTGGTGGCTGGCCACTCCCTCTGGGCTTAAGTCGGGCCTGTCCCCCAACAGGAGGAATATTCAAAAATAGGCAAAAATTAGTTTGGGGACGATTGCTGGACTATTTCTGACTCTGTTCGAATATGTTTTGACAATGCTTTGTTTTTGTTGTAAATGCGACTGTAGGAGGACATGCCCGACCTACTTCTGGACCTCCTGGATGGGGTCCGAATAGATGGGGTCGGAGGATCGCGCCGCATCGCCGATACATCGACGATCCGACACGATGTGGAGCCCGTGTTTCCCCACGCCGACGTCACCGACGCATCGCCGACGTCGCCGATGCATCGCCGATGCATCACCGATACATCGGCGATGTATTGGCGATGCGGCGCGATTTTTCGCCCCCTTCTACCCAGGATCCATCTCAGAGGCTTCCTTTCCCGTCTGGGGCCCGAGCTGCACGAGGCCCCACACCCAGGCTGCTGCTGAAGGGGGCTCCCCGCGGGATCTGCCCTGTTTTACCTTCTCCTGCGTCCTCTCGGGGGACGGTAAGACTTGAGTTCGCCGGACATCGGGTTTTCGGAGGACGATACGGTTAAGGTACCCATACCGCTATCCTATTTCGGGCCTTTTGGGAGGCCCTCGTCGCCACCGCTGGATTCGCCCCGAAATTCGGGTCGGAACGCTCCCTGGGAATAGGCTCGGGGAGTAGCGGCAGTGGTATCTTTTGTTTCGCCAGGTTTGCTGACGCTTTTTGTTGGCGCCCCCGTCCTCGACTTTGGCGGTCCAGTGTCCGTGGGATGTTTGCAGCGGGAGGTCGCGTCAAAGTTCAGACGGTCTCGTTTAGTTCCTTTGTGCCCGATATGGGGTTAAGTCGGTCACGTCCCTCTACAGGAGGAATATAATTTGAATCGTCAAATTATCCTGGCGAAGATCCCAACCATATGCAGTTGTGGGTACCGTAGTTGGTAATATCTGCTTCGGTGAAGCTCCCTATGGGGCCACGAAGCGCTGCACTGGGCGGGGGGGAACGCTGTACTGTGTGGGTGGTGTGCCGAATTGGGTTTCCGGGACGCATGCGGACGGTCCCACTGAGGGCTTCGGTGGAGCTCCCTATTATGGGGCCACGAAGCGCTCTACTGAGTGAGTGAAACTGCCAAATTGGGTTACCGGACGGTCCCACTGGGGGCTTCGGTGGAGCCCCCTTATGGAGCCTCGAAACGCTGCACTGCGCGGGTGAAAATGCCAAATTACATTTCCCGGACGCATGC